TAGTACAAAAGGTTGATCTGGCTAGCCTGCAAAATAACTACACTGCTGTCTCTCATTACTCTTTTTCTTGAGTCATGTTGCAATCCTTTGCAAAATTCGATACTAAATCATGACAAAAAGCAGGGTGTACCCAAATTTGTTTTGTTTTTTGTCCAAGCAGGTCAGTTGCAATTGCTGTAATCGGTACACATGTACTGTGAAGTGGTGCCAGCAGAACTCAAATGCCTGCAGTTAAGCAAATAGATTTAAAAGAAACATTTGTACATTAATTGGCCTTTTTAACCTGGTGACTGGTACATTACTTGCAAACAATAGCCAACGGATTCTAATGAAAAATTTATCACATCAACCAATTTGATCTACCTGCCCCCAGAATTCTCAGGACAAATCAACACCATCAGGATTTGTACTGTTTACACAGACTTATCTTTTTCTAAAAAACAGTGTCATAAACAGAGAGTGATTAAAGGATTACTGTATTTGCAGAGCTACATGTAAAAGTACCTGCATGACCAGTCATAAATAATCTGGAATTTCTTTAAGACCCTTGGATTAACTTATATTTCCTTATCACAAAGCAAATTCAGGAGCATTATCTGGTGCCTCCTGCTCTGAGGAGAAGCCATTCCTCCTTTCTATTGTCATTGAGTAATGACAGGCTTACATGTGACTGTTTTCATTTTGCTTTACTGTTCAGCTTGGCAAAGAGGTTTTTACAGGCTAAGTTGTTGACTCCTCCATGCTAGAGGCCTCCTGCAAAGCACTTTTCTCGGATTTGTCATCTCCTTGATCTGTATTGCCTTGCTCTGAAGACGTGTACTCCACAGTTATACAAGCTTTGAACTTACAACAATCCTTCTTCGAAATAGGGGTTGACTGGAAAAGGGTTGTCTCTTTAGCTTTTTCGGCAACAAACAGAAATTATACATAATTGAGACCATTAATATTGAAACTAAAGCTGTAGATGGTTGTCATGAAAAATACTATTGTCCTTTTCTGTCTAAATATTCTAGCCTTTTATAGCATAAAGGTTGCTATTAGATATTACATGTATTATTACTGGCTGCAGTCACCTGACACTAGGTGACTAAACGTACTTATTTCCTGAGTTAACTGATATCAAAATTAACTAGTTTAAACAAATTGCTGGCTCGTAACTTTCATGTCTCAAATCTAACCCAAAGCGGTCATCATAATCCTGATTACATTGTACCTGTTAAAACTAAGACCTTCTTTGAGCAAAAACAAAACGAAAAAGTGAATGCGAGAAACCCTTTTGAAACAAGACAATTGACTCCAGCTAAATCTATTTACTGCTTGTGTGCCAAATTTGGGAGCAATCGGAAGTAACGCAATTTTTTGCAAATCTTTTTCCGGTTTAGGTCTTGGGAGACCTATTTTGCCAGGGGCGGAATTAATTAGTTTTATAGTGAGTGTCCCACTACATCACTACCATAACAACATTATTGACATATTACTTAAAACTTTATGGACCTGCTTCTTCTGCAATATTGCCATCACTTACAGTGTATCTTGGGAACAAAAGTTTATTTATACTATAATTGCCTCATATGAGAGAATCCAAGACAGTTTCAGATTCTGGATTCCCCGCTGCGGATTCCGGAACCTTTTTCAGTGGATTACTTGGTTTGTGGATTCCAATCGTTTGACCTGTATTTCAGGTTTCAAAGCTCAGAATTTAGGATTCGGCAACAAAAATTGCCCGAATTCTGGATTCCATAAGCAAAAATTTCCCGGATTCCAGAATCCCTTACATGGGGTGATCATAAAAAACAATCAGTGAAAGCAGGGTACCATGATAAATTCTAGCTACTCTATGTTTTCATCACCATGGCAGTCACTGCCTTTACTCTCCTTTTAAATTTTGGAAAAGCCTTTGGAGAAAGTAGGCACTAGAGGATAACGTTAATTTTGGCCTAATAGAGGGGAATTAACACTTGCTTCAATTCTTATTAAATTTCCCAAGACCATTTATCTGAAGAGAACAACCAAACAAAAGATTACAGTAATTTTTACAACAACAGGACAAATGAAGTTTCAGGAGTAGAGGTGAGTCCTTGTTGATTACTGAATATTGAGAATGCAAAGGTAGGTATTATCAAATAGAACCATTAATGGCTTAACAGTAACAATGAACTTTCTTATACTTACTGAGCATTCCTTTTACTCCCGATTAGTTGCTCCGTCAGCACTGGTTTGTCCTTGCATTTCTCCTGCCTCTTCTTAGTTTTACAATGTCTGATAACAGCAACGACTCACCGAAGTCTATGTACTAAGTACTAACGGCTGCTTTTCTTGGATCCACTCGTTACTACTTGATCGTCGCCGATGGAGCTATCTAGAGGTCTTTCATGGTGGATAAGTGCAATTTCCTTTTCGTTGAACGGTCTATAAGTACAGTATGTGGTCTTTGGTCCGCGTCTAAAAGTCATTAACTTGAATATCTTACCCGAATCTTCACGTAACAAGCTGAAATACTCCCTGAAGATAGCTTTTATGTTCTTCACGATAATCCTGAAGTTTCAAGTTCCAGACATAAATATTGTGCTTTGGGTTCGAAAAAAGGCGACCGTTTTCGATAGTCCTTGGTCCGCTTCTCAGGTAAGCAGCACGAAAAAAACGTAAAAATGTTATAGTTTCCACACGATAACGTGATTTTTACAATATTTCATGTATTGTTTTTCTTTTCTTGATGCAATTAAGCTAAAATTTTTTTCGGAAGATGTTGTGACCATAAAGTAATCTTTTCTTCTTTCAAACACTTCCGACAACAGTCTCCTCGAGTCTCCCACATGAGCGTCGACGAGCGGTTTCAGCGCGGTCGAAAATAATTACCTAAAACTCTGTATGTATTCGAGGTATTAAAAAAAGAGAACTTGTAGCCATGTATAGGGACGATTTTCAAAACATTCTTCGAAAACAAAGGCCGTCGCTTTTTATTTGACGAAGTTTTATTCAACCAGGTCATAGGTCGCGGACCAAGGACCGCTAAGAGAAATTTGGTGATATTTTTCAAGAGTCGCCGATCGATAAAACAAAAAATTCAGAGTCTACAGTAATACGCTTTCAACAGCAGAAATCCTGTTCTGCAAAAAGGCACGTCTTCCCGTTGCGTGTTATTTATTCGCAGTCTAAATAAACATGACCATGTAATGTTCGATGCCGCAAAAATGCAAACTTCAAGAAAGACAAATTAACCTACATGTCAACAAACTTTAATTTCGCGCCTTCACCCACAGCAAGAAAGCCGAAACTTCGTCGTATGAAAGAATGCTAATCAGTAAATCACGATATATTTCATTATTCGACGTATTTTTTTTCTCGACGAAATATTTTATTATTTTCGGACAAGTCGCGGACCAAGGGCATTGCGGACTTGCGTGGACCAAGGACCACATACTGTATGCAGTTCCCTCGAGTTCGAGCGATTATTTTTATAAGTTCTTCGAAGACACATTCGTTCGATAAATTCGAACAAATAAGACTGGCCGATTCCTCCATACTCAACAGTCAACCCCACAAAGAAGGAAAATTCGAAACCTCTTGATAAATATGGCGTTAAACGTATGAAGTAAAATCTGATGGCAAATCGATGGCAATTGAACGTGGTAACGGTCGACGAAATCTGGGCGCAGTTTCAATTGTTGTGCCTCGTTCTCGAACGGTTATGCAGATTGTCGCTGACCAGCACCACTGAGGCGCAAGTGCTTTGGAAATCGGGCGCGCGGGGGCGCGCGGTCTTTTGGCGATTTGGCGGGAGGAAGGGATTGCCTATGTTGCTGGATTTTTTCTGAAGGATATTCGAAATTTAAAAGATAAAGTCGATGTATTTTGCTTTGTATATCGTGCTTCTACTGCCACATCTATGTTATAACCGGGAATAAACTACATTTGCATCCATATTTACATTTGTAACATGTATGTGCACGCGTGTCGTGTGCGTATGATAGTGATCCAGCTGAAAAAAGCCTTGTTGAAAAATTTAAGTGGTGTTAAGTCAGCAAAATATGTAGCTATGCAATGTTAAAATGCTAATTTATTGGTATTTGGCAGAAGTAGCTCAAGATTAATTGCTTTAGTAATTTATTCTACCTCTGACGCTATATTGACATATTGAGCGTAATACATGTACATGTGCTATTGATTTTGACAAGGGTAAGGTGGAGCCTTCATTTTATATGCGTTACTGTCATTTTTTCTGTTTTGTTTTGTCATGTTTTCATATACAAGGTTGTTTTGTTTATAATAGTTTATAATGATACAGCTGTACATGTAAGCTGAGTCCAAAGGTCAAAAGTGCTAAAATGTGCCACATGTGTATTTATAATGTTCATAAAGATAATGGCAACACAAGTAACACAATTCATTTAACTTCACAATATTATCAATAAAGGTAGAATAACCAGTTATTTTCAGTGGGTTGAGTGACTTTTTTGTAAATTTGTTTCAGATTTTTCCTTGAGTGGCACAGGAGTTCTTGAAATTGAGTTGCATCACTTGAACTCTCCAAAAAATAAAGAGGTCAATGAAATACAGGTTCAACATGAGGAAGCTGTTTGTGGTCTGTGAAGTGTTCTCCAAGAAGACACAACATACACTCAAGATGCATGGCGAATGGAAATGAACACCCTTTATTCCAGTAGCCATGCACTAAATATAACCGCTGACCTGATGCTACATTCCCCCTTTTTTTAAGAAACAAAGAAAACTGAAATTACCGAATTTAACGAAAAAACCGTAACAATAAAAAAAAGAAAACAAAAAACGAAACACGAGACAATGCTGCAACGAGAGCAATGTGTCCTTTCCTGGAAACTGAAAACAGAAAGGTTAAATGTAAGGCTGCAAAGTGTCTGCTTTGTATCTAATACTTAACATAGTCCTTAAATCTCTGCGGTTCCCTGATTGTCCGACCAGACCGCGTGGTAGTAGCCGTAAACATCCCGGTTGGCGGTGTTACAGGATTCTCGTGGGCCACTCTAACAGCTAGAGGATGGCTCAACTTCGGTGTCTGTCAGGTCCTCATCATTCGAGATTTCCAGTGTAGGGGTGAGTTCCGGCATCTGATACTCTTCAGTTCTTAATAAATGTTGACGGTTTCTTCGGTAGTCTCCACGCTCTCTTTCAACCTTATAAGATCTGGGTGAGGGAAGAACCTGTGTAACTCTAGCGGGCTTCCACTTGTCGCCTTCTCTAACTCTTACAACCTCACCATCCCTCAAAGGGGGAAGTTCCTTTGCTTTTCTGTCATGCTGCAGCTTCTGCTTTCTCTGCCTTTCTTTTAACTTAGGGAGGACATCTTCAGGGTCATAGAGGTGAGGTTTCAACAAATCCTCAGTCGCTGGAATTGAGGTTCGCGAACGTCTGTCCATTAGCATTTGTGAGGGTGACAGGTTAACTTCCTCCAGGGGTGTATTTCGGTAAGAAAGGAGAGCTTTGTATGGGTCACCAGCTTTCTCCAGCATTGCTTTAACGGTAGATAATAATAATAATAATAATAATGTTTATTTCTTATATTGCGCAGTCTAGCATGCGATAAAGATATGATCGAATGCGCATTACAACACTAAAATCTTAAAGTAATAAATGGCTAATCCAAATAATGATAATGATAATAATTTACAATTTTCGGAAAACAATAAAAGTAAAATATGAGTTAATAAAAGAACTAATAAAAAGCTAATTTAAAAAGATGTGTCTTTAGTAAAGTTTTAAAAATGTTCAATGATTGACATTGTCTAATTTCTAGAGGGAGTCGGTTCCATACTTTGGGCGCAGCATTTTCAAACGCCCTATCCCCGAGTGTCTTTTTTGTTCTATAGGTATTGTCCATTAGGAGTATGCCCCGGTATGATCTCAACTGATACCGCGAGCTCTCTTTGATTTTTATCAAGTCTAAAAGATATTGTGGTGCGACGCCGTAGATACATTTGTGAACTAGCATTGCTATCTTGAATTCTACTCTGTGGGTAACCGGAAGCCAGTGCAGGTTGAGCAGGGATGGTGTGATAGGATCATACCTAGATACAGTACATACCAGCCGAGCTGCCGCGTTCTGCAGGCGTTGCAGCTTACCAAGTTGAACAGCGGGCGTACCATATAATAGACCGTTACAATAGTCTAATCGTGACATTATAATAGCCTGTACAATGGACTTCCTATTGTCATATGATAAATACTTTCTAATACGCCGGATGTTATGTAGATGGTAGTAAATATCCTGACATATGCTGTTAATATGTGTGGTCATATTCATGTTTGCATCAAACCAAGCACCCAGATTTCTAACAGAATAGACAGCAGAAACCTTTACCTCACCTACTTGCAAGTCACTTATCGTAACCTTATTTAACTGTGCGCGTGTACCTATAATAAGAAACTCGGTCTTAGCATCGTTCAGCCGAAGTTTGTCTTGTACCATCCAGGTTCTTATGTCCCTGATGCAAGCCTGTAAAGCGTCAACAGCATCCGTCTCAGTAGCAGAACCATTCGGCTTAAATGAGATATAGAGCTGCGTATCATCAGCGTATGCGTGAACGTTAGGGAGATGGGATTCAACAACATCGAAGAGCTTACTTGCGTACAACGTGAAGAGCAAGGGACCTAGACAAGATCCTTGAGGTACCCCTTGAGGCAGATCAAAGTCACTCGAATAGCTCCCGTTAATCAGGGTTCGCTGTTTCCTGTTTGATAAATACGAATGAAACCATTTAAGAGCGGTACCTGTAATTCCATACTTCACGTACAGGCGATTCAACAACACTTGGTGGTCAATCGTGTCGAATGCTGCACTCAGGTCTAGCAATACCAAGAGAGTAACTCGTTGATTGTCCATTGCAGCTAGTATGTCATTCTGTATCTTCAATAGGGCAGTCTCTGTGCTATGACCCAGTCGATAGGCTGACTGGAGGATGGGATACAAGCCCGACTGAGTAACGTGATCGGTTGTCTGATCATAAACTGCCCTTTCAACCAATTTAGAGAGGTATTGCAGATTACTCACAGGTCTTAAATTGGATAAGAAAGTCCCTTGCTTGGTAGATAGATAGATAATCTTTATTTATCCACGGTACAAAATTCGTCAGCTTTAAAAATGCCTAATACTAATATAATAAAAATATTTAAATAAAAAAGTTGCTTTCCACGAATGCCGTGCCTTACAGTTCTTTGAGTAATCGTTTAAATTGCCCAACGGACTCTGCCTCCCTTAAGTTACAAGGAAGACTGTTCCAGAGAATGGCGCCACTATAGCTGAAGCTGTTTTTGTAGTAGTTTGTGCGCGGTAATGGAACATTGAGTTTATTGTCAGAGTCCCTTAGGTTATATGCGACTTCTCGCCTTTCAAATTTAGAACTAAGATAGTTTGGAGCCAACCAAAGTGTGGCTGTATTAAAGCTTGATATAATAGTTGTAAGGTCGCCTGTGGGACAAGGTGCCTTATTCGTTTTGTGGCCCCAATACCAGAAGCGACTTTCTTTGTTACTTTCTCGATATGGCCACTCCAATCAAGTCTGTCATCGATGGTCACTCCAAGTGATTTTGCAATAGTGACCTGGCTAACTTGAAAATCATTAATTGCAAATGTCGGGGACACTGAGAGAGTACTTAGTCTCTGCCTAGATCCGATAAGCATAAATTCGGTTGTAGTCATATTTAGAGTGAGTTTGTTTGCTCTCAGCCAATCTGGACGGTTCTCTCTGACTGGCCATTGGATTGTCGGTAGCCAGGACGTGAAGTGATGTGTTCAAAACCCCAGTCTTCTGAAAACTTCCTAAATTCTGCAGAGTTGTAACTGGGGCCATTGTCAGAAACGACAACTGAAGGGACTCCATATCTCGCGAACTGGGATTTAAGAGCTGTAATTACTCCGGTGCTTGTTATTGACGGGAGTAAAGTCATTTCTGGCCACTTGGAGTAATAATCGACAGTAACGAGGTAGTTCTGACCATTCTTGTGCTGAACAACTGTGCCAACCTTAACCCAAGGCAATGGTGGAATCTCGTGCGGCTTCAATGATTCAGGCTGCTGACTTGGTCGATTTTCTAGACATACAGGACAGTTTGTAATATTCTCGGCTATCTCCACACTCATCCTGGGCCACAACAATACTTCCCACGCTCTCGCTATTGTCTTGTTGATACCTAGGTGTCCCTCACGCAGTTTCTCAAGCATCTCTCCTCTCAAGCTACTTGGTACAACAATCTTTTGTCCCTTAACGATCCGTCCCTGGGCTACTGTTAATTCATCACGGTAATTCCAAAACTCCTGTGCATTGGGTGGGACTTGACCTTTGGAATCTGGCCAACCAGACAAAATAACTTGTTGCAGGTCAGACAAAATTGCATCTTCCTTAGTTGCCTCAGCGAAACGGGCCAACTGGTGGTCAGAGGTAACATCCTCTACTAAGTTTACGTCCAACTGCTCAGCATTCGTCAGCTGTTCTTCCAAATGGGCTCGAGACAAAGCATCCGCTAAATGTAGGCTGTCTCCACGCTTGTATACCATATTGATTCCTGGAAGGCGCTGGAGTTGGACCAACATCCGTTGCAGCCGTAAGGGTGCTATGTGTATTGGCTTCTTCATAATTGCCTCCAAAGGTTTATGATCTGATTCAACGGTGACATCACGACCCATGATGTACTCTGCAAAATTTGGCGCAGCCAAATACTACTGCCAAAAGTTCCTTTTCAATTTGGGCATACCTTTCTTGAGTGCTTACCCAATCAGCAGGTTCATTCAAGGGAACTTTCTCTACAATGCCAACATTCGCCATCCGATCTAACTCTTTCTTGCTTAGAGTGAGGAACTCCTCTGGGTGGGTGGACCACAGGAGGAATAGAGGGGTCAACTCTAATGTGATATTTCCCTGGGAAGCACCCAAGTCCTTGGAATACTTCAGGGAACTCATCAAGAATACTGACACTTTCAATAGCATTTATGCGCTGGATTAGGCCCATATTCTCACAGGATGATCTACCCAGGAGGGGCATGTAATTTCCATCACCCACTTGAAAACATACTTGATACCTTTCCCCACGCACCCAACAAAGCAACTGACACTTTCCAACAGGTCTAATACAAGTTTTGGAGTCACTTTCTAATCTTTCCCAGGAAGGTTGCAAAGAGTTTGTTGTAGTTTTGTCATATGCGGCTTTGGGCAAGAAATTGCACTAGGCCCCAGTATCTAGTTTAAAGACGTCTTGAACAGTTCCAAAATTGACAGTTTCAACCCAGTCTTTGTCTCCTGCATTGACTGCTCCAATGAACATAACTTCAGAGTCAGAGTCACAATCATCAATACTGTTTACCTGTTTCTTTTGTCCATCTGGTCTGGGGTACGACACATCCTTGAAAAATGGTTCATTTTCTGGCACTTGTGGCAGCGTCGCCCGGCAGCAGGACATGAATCTCGGGCATGTCGAATACCACAACTCCTACAGGGCATTCCCCATTGAGGCTTCTGTCCTTTGCCGTCTACTACATCCACTTTCTCAACTTTGCTACCTTCTTCATTTATGCTCTTCATGTGCTGCTTGCTTGTTTCGGCGATGCCAATTGCTTGCAATGTTTTCTCTAAACTCTGTTCTCTCTCCATCAACCTTTCTTTGGAAAACGGATCCTTAAGCCCCAGAACTAACATGGATGTAATCCAAGATTCTTCTTTATCACCGAGGTCGCTGTTCTTAGCTAGTGTTTTCAATACGCTACAGAATTCATCGACTGTCTCTCCGTCTTGCTGTTTCCGTTCGATAAACAAATAACGATTGAAGTTCCTCGAGGTCAGTGGTGCACAATTTTATCCCGATCATCCTCGGAATCCCACACAGTATTTGAAAAAATTTCCACACATTCCTTGCCAAGCACATGGAGCAACGTAGCCACTTGAATCTTCTCATCCTTTTGATCGAGTCCGCTCGCAACTTTGTACAGGTCCCATGACATTTTCCAACGCCGCCATGCTTCGGCTTTATTCGTCGCTGCAGACAATATCAGAGCTTCATGCGAATTCAGGTGCTCCATCCCACTTCTAACACCATGAAGTGTTCTCCGAGAAGAAACAACATACACTCAAGATGGCGGATGGAAATGAACACCCTTTATTCCAGTAGGCATGCGCTAAATATAACAGCTGACCTGATTCTCCAGTCCGTGCATAAAGAAATGCTACAGGGGTATTACAGTGGGTCTCAATTTATTTACAGTAATCATTTCTTCCTCTCCACAAGATAACAGAAGTGAAGCTTATATACTGAATGCTCCCATCCATCAATACTTTCTGTCTGGGGTAAATGTCACAAAAAAGAAACGTCACATGTACTTCCTTGTGTTATACTTTTACCATCTTTACAATATTACTTTTCTTGCACTTTGTACCGTGCCCTGCTGAGTAAATCCATGTCCCTTTCACAGTGTTCTGCGGGGAACATAATGTGCTGAAATTGTGTGAAGCTATAGAACATTTGCACTCATAGAGGTTTCCCCACAGAGATATAAAGAGTGACAACATTATTCTTACAGAGGTAAACAATATGTATCACCCAATGCTCATTGATTTTGGAAAGGCTATGTTGCTGTCGGATACCCCTTCAAAACAGCAGTCCATGGCTGCTCACTAGCACTAGCACTGCTCACATATTGCTTCAGAAATATGCCTCAGATATTATGTTTTCACTTGGCCTTAATAAGTTATGGCAAAAGTTAGTGGCAAAGTGAAAATAGAAAGTCATTTTGTGGAAGGGCAAAGAAAATGCCTTCAGACAGATCCAAAGTTGAGATTTACTATTTCATGTCTTCTATCACTGCTCAAAACAAATTTTTAACTGGAACCTTTTTTTCGTCCAGCAATTATAAATATCATATTCCTATTTAAAAAGGAAAATCAAAAAGTTATCTTACCGTGTGAATTCCTATACTAAATAAATCTATTAAAATTCGACTCATTTAGTGAAAAGGGTATAATAATATTGAAGGTGTAAACCCCGGTGGTCTAAGAAGTTTAGGTTTAAGTGAAGAAATGCCCCATGTTAATGTTGTTGAGTGAAGGCTGATATAAATCTCGTCAGTCTGTTTGAGCAGTTTAAAAAGACAAATCATATTGAACTCAAAATCAGGGTTGTAAAGAGAAGCAAAGAAATTATTCGTTCATGTCTGTGCTGAGTTTCTATTCGCAAATTATATGAAATACAAAGCAATTTCATCATTTGTTGTAGTAGTGGCTGTTGGGCTTTCAAAATCTGGTCATTTTTAGGAGGCTCACCATCAAGATGTGGTCATCTCAAGGTAGTCAGTGAAAACTAGAACAAATTATAGCGGTAATTGTCAGTTTTGATGTGAAATTTCTTGAATAAATGGCCATGAGGAAATTGTGTGCAAGTGAATATCTCAACCCTGACTTTGAAATGCACAGAACGTTTTATTTTGGACCAAATTTAAGGTACTGTGGGTGGCCTTGTTGTTAGCTTTTTAATAATAATATTATGATGTAGAAAAAATACAGTAAATGATCTGACTACTCCGGGACCTTTGTCCAGTAGATTTGTTGTGGTGTATTTACTTTATGTAAAGGGGAGGTAGTGTGGGCCCTCTGTACTGTATACAACAGTTACTGTGTCATTTTGAATTTTTACTTTTAGTAACTGGAGATCCCTGCCCATTGTGCGACCCTAGGCTTTACTATTATCAAATGACAGAAGAGGAATGCAACACATGCCCAGGTTATGTACCATTGACTCACTTCGAAGTGGTTATGTGATTTAGAATTGGACCCAAAAAAAGACCGGGGCCCAGTTGTTCCAAAGACCGACAAGATTAACCCAGGGTTAGATTTTAACCCGGGTTTCTTTTTCCTTTTAATCAAAAGCATTTTGTCAGATAATTTTCTCTTTTCTTTTTTAAGTATCCAATCACTAAATTGTAGACAAAAGGAATTCAACTGAATTTGTTTTTGAAACTATCATATCTGAATTCATATTTCGTACTAACCTTGGGTTATCTTAACCCAGCTTAGAACAACCGAGCCTGGAAGGATAAATGCTGCATGTTAATTTGTTTCACCGCCTTAAATTTTTTTTTATAACTTTAAACTTTTCATGATCCAAGTCCAACTCAGAGCTCCTGTAACCCAATAGGGCTCTGTTCATTTTTTACGGGGTGGGGGGGGCTTTGTCGGGTGGGATTTGATTGGTAGCTCCTGTATATGAAGACCCTCTCTTCATCAGAATTTTTTGGGAAGCCACAACCCCGCTCCTTGTATCCCAAGATCAAATAACCAGGATTCAGGTGAATTTTAGCCAGCAAAAATGCTATGACTTTTTCGGATTGAATAGGTAGTACTTAATGAACAGTAAAACTCAAAATCAACATTAAAATCAGTGAAGCTCAAACTCAGGGGGTTGCAACCAACTGAGTAAGAAAAACCTTAAATGACTGAGGCAAGTGCCTCGGTTTGCCTCATACTAGCTACGGCCCTGACTGTAGGAAATACAGTGCATCAATGATCTGACCACTGGACCTTAATAACCAGTAGATTTGAATTAGTGTATTTGCTTTAAATTAGAAGCCCGGGAAGGGTTTATGCTGGGGGCGCTGTCAGAGATGGACATCTTTTTCTCGCTTCAGGTATGAAAGGATAGGGATTTCCTGAGTTAAAGTACATGAGAGGGTAGACTATCTGTCATTTCGCTCTGTAAAAAGACTAACAGAAGAAATTTCTGACTGTAAAATTGTCAAAAAAATTAACTGCTTTCTGATTCCTTTATATTAAAATGACAGTGTATAAAAAACAGTTAACAGGAAAGATGCATGTAAGGGGTTGGACCTCTGGGCGGAGTCTCACAGCGGGTACAAAATTTTATTGTAACAGTGTAATGTTACAGTTGAGATTGGAAATTTACTTTACTTTAGTCACAAAACGAATCAAACATATAGGAAATGTCACATGCACATCACCTTTGATTGTCAGCAAATGTTATGCAGTTCACTGTATTTGCTCCCCTTGCAAATATGGATAGTTATGATGCAAATGTGCAAATTTATGGTAAAGCCAAATATCTAGAAATTTACTGTTTTTGCTCTTAAGGCAAATACGAGTAAACCACATGCAAAAGTGCTCTTTTGGTATCCTGGAAAAACAAGAGCAAACACCACTGCAAATTAGGGGTTTTGCAATATTTTTGCCTGCATTTGAAGTACCGTGAAAACTGCCATTTTTGCCAAGGATTTAAATTTGAGTAAATTGGTAGAAATGTTGAAGATTTGCCCATGCTGCAAATATGTATCAAATTCGTATCAAACCATTACATTTACTTGACTTTTGCGTATCAACACCTAACGAGAAAATATATGTATTTGCCCACACTTTAGCCGACAGCGCGAATGTAATGCAAATTTAGAGCTCCAAATTTAACACATATTTGCACCGTTCGCAAACATTAGTAAATCCATTTTTTCGTCCAGTGTATGGAAAAATGCATCGCTGATGTTCGTTCATGGATGATTAATGATAAATTGATGTTGAACGATGATAAAACTGAGTTTCTGGAAACGGATTCATGCATTTATAACCAGTAGGTTAGACTATTGCAACAGTCTCCTCTATGGAGTTCCTGAGCATCACATGCAAAAACTCCAACGTGTCATGAATGCCAGTGCGCGATTCATCTTCTGCGCACCTAAACACTGTCATATTACGCCCCTCCTTCAACAACTTCACTGGTTGCCTATCCGCCTACGTATGGAGTTTATAATCCTTTTGATCAGGGCTCAGCTCCAGGGCTCATCTCCTAAATATCTCATTGATTTAATTTCTGTTTTACCACCATCCCGTTCTTCTGAGCACCCCAAAGCGTTTCACATAAGTTACCATGGGGGATCGATCCTTCATGGCGGCAGCGCCACGGCTTTCGAACAGTCTTCCCTTAAGCATTAGATCTTGCACCAAAAGTGATTTTAAACAAAAACTTAAGACATTTTTATTCAGCAAGGCATTTGTTAGTACAAGTAGTTTATATTTAGATTTTTTATCTTGTTCTGACCAATAAAACCTACTCCTCGGTAAATCGCGGGGTTCTTTAAAAGTATAATCGAATAAAGAGATGTGTATTATATTGTATGAGGATGAATACGTATGAGAAAAAAAATATGAATAATGATTTGGAAATTGAAATTACTTGTTATATTGAAAACAGAATATATGGTTTAAGGGAAAATACGTGGCTGAAAAACTTGGTTATAATGATACAGATAAGGCTATAAGAAATCACGTGGACTCTGAGGACATTAAAACAAAACCTGCCGAAATGGCGGGAAATTGCGGCAGCAGAGGTAAACCGGGGGTTATGATCGATGAAAGTGGTTTTTATTCTCTTATTTTATCTTAAAAATTAGAATCAGCAAAACAACAACAACAACAAAAAAAAAATCCAAAAATGGGTTACAAGTGTTGTGCTTCCATCAATCAGAAAATATGGTTATTACAAACTATTTGATAATCCAAATAATAAAATTTACAAGATAGAAAATGAAACAGATCTCCTTTACAAAGTTGTACAATATATCCGACCATTCTATCAGGATGTGATTTTGATTGCTGGTCTTGGTGAAAATCAAGATTCTGATTACAAAAGAATAGATTCGTTTAAAAAAGGTTATATGAAAGGTCAACCGAATTTGATGATCATGAATAACTACAAAGTAAGTGAATCACAATTAAATATGAAAAACAATACAAAAAGGATGGTTATTGTAAGATCCAAGTGTAACATTTTTTCTATTATTCTATTTCATTTGTTTTTCCTTTGCGTACGCAAATTAGTTTATACTTCTTTTCGTCCTTTTGTTTAGTCTTTTTTTGCGTTAATTTAGGTGTTTATTCCTTTCTGTTAGTTTTCGCGCCCTCGTTAGCGTTTCTTTGCTGTTTCATCTTCATTAGCGCCTTTCTAAGTTTCTATAGTTTTATTTTCCGCATGTTCTAGTGTATTTTTCGTATCGTAATTTTGCAGTACAGTTTGTGCAGTTCATTTTGGTCCGCGCTTAGAGCAGTTCTGTTTTAGTTTTTTGCAAGTCCCTAGCTTCGCGTTATTCGCAGTCCGCTTCAGCAGTTTTCTCTGGCCGAAACAATGTAAGTGTACTTCACAGTCCTCGTTTTGCAGTTTTGTTATTTCTTTACTCTAATTTACTTTAGTCGCAACTTGTAACTTTTTTACTCTTTTACCGTTTTAGTTTCAACCCACGCCGTTTGTATGTGCACTCAATAAATCTTCATTCTTATTTGGTTTGTGGCGTTGTCAGTAAAAGGCCAAGAGACTTTACGCTTGTTGCAGTTTCAGTTATAAATTCATTATGTCCAATGATTATGACCTTATTACAGCTCATATCAATTATTATATGTGGGGTGCCAGAATACCATGCAAATACTACAATAGAATGTTTAAAACGACAGGTAGCCCAGGCTCGAAATATGAGCATCGGCGAGCATCGGCATTGTTGCGTAACAGTCAAAATATAAGGATTTGTATGGGAAGAAAACTTATCGTTTCTGTAACCTATGAAAATGAAAGGATTTCAATAAAAAACGGCTTACCTTACTTAAAATGTGTGTTACGTCTCTCCTGTGTGGTCCACGGGTCGATTTATGGCCGTTTTATGGGTTTTTATGTAAACGGTTTCCTCTCTAAAAACCAATGTCTTGGTTTGCGAGAAAAAACTTGTATCTGTTAATGTTATGCGCAAGGATGAACTCCAACTTTCAAATACTCGGGCAAGTAAAAAAGGATCATCTTTCCGTAACATGTTTGGAAAAAGACTTGATACTATTATCGGACCACGTGAGGATATATTAATTACACTATTTGTGGATATCATTGGTGGTATTAATGTGGAAAGTTTAAAGTTATGGACCGTTCAAAGTCAGTGTTACAAAATTGAGTCTGAAAGACATGTCCAAATTTATGGTTTTTACATTACTGGAAAATAAATTCACCCTTTTATCAGCACAAGAGATTAGTAAAATCGGTTGTAAACTCGTCACGCACAACAAACAATTCTTCATGCATCATTTTATGGCGGGAATGAAGCTTGAATACTATATGTTCAATAAACAGCGCCAAGTTACAAAGCATAGAGATGATAGTTGTGTAATAGATTATGTATGGGGTCCAAGTCCTGGCTAACGAGGATTCAAAACATATGATTACGACAAGTTGAAGGAAGAGATTTGTAACAATGCTGCAGATCCACCAATGCTGACTACATAATAATTAATAGATTGGGCCAAAAAATGTCATTGTCATTGTCATCCGTTCATGTTTTTAATGCAATGTGCAGAACGTTTATGACACATAGCAATAATCATCCCGATATTGTTCTAGTTTATATCGTCAAAGATCACCATTACTTCCCAATCACAGATGAAAAGCTTAAGTTACTTGCTTCTAAAGCAAACCGAAGAGGAGTTGAAAATCTATTAAGACATATCTGATCTCAAATGGTCAAGAAGTCATGAGGACATTTCCAGGTTAAAATATGTTGATGATATATTTCGTCTCAACACCGAAAACCATATTATACTTCTTCCGGAAGATATGCTTATATCAACAAAACCAAATTTTTATCAACCAATCAAAACGACGACATTTATCGACCTTAAAGTAATTAAAAACCCGTAAAACCGGTCAAGGATAGTAGGTCTATTGTTTTTATTGTATTAGAAATACAAAAAGAGAAGATAATGAGGTTCCTGCGCATTTTATTCATGAGATAAAGACAAAAGGTTGTGCCGTCAACGGCGTTTATGTATTCCCCGCGAGTTAATGAGATTCCCCCGAAAAAAATGGAGTTACCGGTGTCTACTTCACTACTTTCGATGAAGGACTGTCTAATATTGGCGATGTTCCTGAGATGATGAAGCACAGATTTACAGATGGCTCTAGGATGAACGTCAAAGTTAAAACGCTGATCAAAAACGACACCAAGATTACGAGTTGAAGGTGTCTGAACAACAGTCGTATCTCCAACTCGAAGGGACTCCAAGGGAAGTCTTTGACGATATTTTGAGCTGATTAGAAGAAACTAGGTCTTATCTTGATTCAATTTCAGCCTGTTGTCTGACCATCCAGTAATCAATGTCGCTGACACAATTTTAAATCAATGATTTGCAGGTAGCCATTTCATAAAGAGGATCATTTTTGAATGCTAAATAAAATTAAACGTCATCTGCATAAAAGTGATACTAAGGATTGTAAGCCTTTACAATGTCAGCAATCGAAGAAGTGTAAAGTACATACAAAAAAGGCCCGAGTACAGATCCCTGAGGGACGCCGCGTTCCAATGGTCGTTGGTCAATGGAATTATTCAAACTGACGAACTGTGCGCGCGTCAGGCGTGCACAGTTTCTTTCACCCCGAAACGAGTAGTTAACCTTGACAATAGAATGCTATGGTCGACAGTATCAAAGGCGGCTGATTTAGATCGAGAAGGAGTAAGATATCAGAATTTCTCTTATCAATAGCAGTCAGAATGTCGTTTTGAAGCCTTACAAGTGCAGTTTCGGTGCTGTGAAACCTTTAATATGCGGACTGAAACTTCTCAGTGAGTTGCTTATTTTATTCATAAGGTAAAACAGTTATGCTATCAGACAGGGAGGTTACAAGCAAAGGGGGGAGACGTCTACCATTTAGATTAACACGGACACCAATATACTGAGAAAAAATTAGTAGTCATCCCGATTTAGTGAGAAAATTTTCCAGATTTCAAGTCTACGCACGGTCGTATGTGCGTATATGGGCGCTACGTTCCTGCCAATGACTATATAAATTTAGTGTCCAGTATCAAAGAAAAAAATAAGGAAAGAGGGAAATAAATCTCATTCACCTCAAGAGTGAAAAGTGTCTTAGGTGGGTCAAAATCGAAATCTTTTTAAGCTTAATGCCTGGTGTTATCACGCATGAAGATGCGTCCAATCAGCCTCTGGAACTTTACCCGGCAGCTGCGATTAAACAAAACTAGTCCAGTTTGACTTATGTTTAACGGAGACTTGACACGATTGAATCAGCTGTTTCGCCCATGTTTCCTTGTCATTCGACTTGAAATAATCGATATAGCTTCTCTCTTTAAGTGCTTTAGGGAGTTTCCTTCTATCAACATCATCGAGTTTAATGACAATCACACTGTTATCTCCTCTCTCGACTAAACGACCGAGAGCGATTTCCATTTCATGATTGCAATATTTACTTTTAAAGAAACTGTGTGATACAACTGCAATGGTTTTTCTGCTCTTGTAAACACTTTCTGCCATGTTTTCCCTAAAAGATTTTCCAATAGTGAAATCTCTGTAGTGAACACAGCACTTCAAAGCATTCTTTTCTTCTAGAATTGGAAGCAGAGTTCTCTTAACCCACTCCTCGTCTGGTGTACTATATATGATGAAAGCGTCAAATTCCATTTCACTGACGTCTGGAATGAAATAAGCATTTTTCTACGTTAGCTAATTATTCAAGACCAAATAGGAACGTCAACGTTTCCAAAATGGAACGAAGTATGGATAATCATATATTCGAGGGTTAAAACGTGTGCGGTAAAACCATTTTCAAGATGTGGTCAATTCTGAATTTAAACCAACAAACCAATTTCAGACATCAAGTACCAAGGTCTAAGGCAATCCCCAAGGCGTTCTCTACGACACCCAAGAAGCCGCTTTGTCAGTATGCTCATATAAAGTCTATATAAGACCAATAATTTAGAAGAATGATGAAGCAATGACCTAAAATAGCTCACCGAACTTCAGGTGATTAGACACAACCCTGAGCGCAACCCTGAAAGGTGCACACCTCACCCTACAACAGTATTTCTAGCACAGAACAGACTGGTGCTCTGATTAAATACCTTGCAGCCTTCAGTTTAAATTGGAGACTACGAGAGGAACATGGGTAAAAGTCTATAGAAATAGGGCGTCTTTAAACATATTCTGGTTGGTAATTTTGGTTTCTGGTGTGAACACAATTTAAAACTTACAAAAAGCAGTCGTCGCACACCTTTTTCGTAGTAACGGTGATACTGTGTTATATATATTAAAAGAAGTTACCCTAACCTGCATAGTATGGTGGTCCTCTTCTGCGATAACAATACCAGTACGCCAATAGGGCCAAAAGAACAACTATGGAAACGACTATTGTGACGGAAATGATAACGACCTCGTTTGACGTGTTACCTGGTAAGACATAAATTCATCTGATCATGGACAGATTTCCTAGGGGCATGATCATTTTAACTAGCGAAGGAAGGCCTTTTGAGCACCCCCCCCGCCCCTTCAAGCTTTGACCGCCAATTAGCCACTTTCCCTACAATTTAAGTGGGGACATTTTAAAGCCGTCGTGCTATGTACGTCAGCATTGACATTACCATGGAAACTGAATTTTCACCGCAATTTTTCCCCCCAAAAAAGAAAGTACACGGGACAAAACTAGCTAAAACTGTTTAGGATTGACGTTTTACTATATAAAAACAGAGCAAGCCAAGGAACTTCAATTTTGTTTTTCTCCTTTGAACTTTATTAAATTCCTAGCCTGCGAACAAGCTCCCCATTTGGCGGATATCGTAAAAAGTAGACGCGCGAGAGGCACGCTAGAGGAGGGGAGAGGGGGGTGTTGAGAGAAAGGAGAGCTTGCAACGATCACTCATAAACTTTCAGTTCCATCCTGGAAACCCCGGGACACCGCAAAGCGTGAAAACTGTCACCGCAAACGTGACGCAGATTAGAAAAGTGACAACCGCCTGTCAAGTTTAGACAGCTGAGGGGGAGTATAATTCATTTATATATTTATGTATTTATCAAATCACTTTCGCAACAGCTTTCCACTGCATCAAAGCAATGTTTTAGGTTTTAGATCACTGAAATGTTCTTTTTTTTATCCACTGGACATCGAACTTAAACGTGTTTGCTCAAATTAGAACTTAATACTGATTCTCGTTTCATTTAGATTGAATAGTCGCTCATGTTGAGAAGATTAAGTTCCCCGTCGCAATCACCAACATTATATATTTGTTGGTTCCGGAACCAGAGAGCAGCGTTTTCCTGGACTTTGTACTCTTACGTTTTACTCAAATTGCTTCGTACTTTTTTCATTGTCCTTCTTGACGGTCAACTGCTAATTCTCCGCCAGATAGCTGTCATGTTAGTCATGTAAATGTTTCTGAATTTTCCTACTTAGTGGAATTCAGTCGGACGAATCAACCGACGTTGGAAGGCAGCGCTTAAGCCGGGTGCTTAAATCTCTCTTCACTTTTAAACAAGGCGCTTGACACAAACGAATACAACTGATGAAAAGTTCTGATGTTCCTTCCACAAGAACTACCAACTCGGTCCGACTTATCCTCGGCTCCCAATATTGTATTTGCAATCCAACACTTTCACATGTACAGCTTTAATGCGACAATCACATCAAACGAGACATGCTGCTTTGAGGGCTGAGACAAGTTCTCTCGATCGGTTCCAATAAGATCCCACTGAGAACCAAATTTGACACACAGGGGACAGTTATCTCTCACAGAAGGAGAAAGTTTTTTTTACCTCTGCCGGTCGATCTTCTTTTTCGGAGCGAGTTCAGCGATCGCCGACATAACAAGAATAACACGGGTTTTGGCGATAAGAGCATGGTGTTTCTACATTTCCCGCGAAAATTTAAGGCAGGCCAGCTAAGCCTGGTATCAATGAATTTTGATTTCCAGAACGTCATTTTTCAGCCAATGGTATTTCCCTTTGTCTGGACGAAGTACAAACGAAATTTATGAGAGATGGTTGCAAGCTCTCCTTTTCTCGGCCCCTCGCGGCTTCCCCGCTCGCTCGCGCGTTCTCGCGGGGCTCATTTCGCTCGCCCAAATAGGAGAGCTTGCTCGCAGGCTATTAAATTCCACACACGGAAAAATAACAACTCTGTTGGATTTGCCTTGTGGCCCTTCGTTGGTAGCATTACAACTTCAATCTTTGTCCCTCTAAACTGCTGATATATCAAGGAATATATTCCAGTATGTCAATGACTCGTTTCAAGTTGTCTTCGCTGTTAGATTTATTTGGAGGCGATATTCTTGACACAACAATACCTCGTTTTCAGTGAAAAAACGTGTGATTCTACGTACATTGTACCTTTGTGATTTATTTACCAAGTTTGGATACACCGTAACGCAAGTCCTCCTTGCGTGATCAACATGAAAATATTTTTCCATGCGAGGGATTTTAAAAATGTTTAAAGGGCAAAAATATCATTAAGGTTTCTTGGTTTGCTTTATTTTGTATAGTAACACGTCAACTCGGAACAGTTTTGTCAAGTGTGCTATCTATCAAAATCATTACCAACAAAATTATTGAATTATCATATTACACTTAATGTAGCATTAATTATATATTATCTATAAGTATAATTAATGTAAACCAGGTTTTGAGTGACTTATCTGAGACTTATTTTTCTATTTCCTAAGCACCCTTTGACCAAACTTCGTTTTGCAACATATTTGCTAAATTTGCAAACTATGAGTAAATCAAGGGCAAAAATGTTGAATGCCACAATTGCCTCCTAATTTGCAGCACGTTTAAATTACTACATAATAAAGCCTCGAAAGTTCCTTAACGAATACTGACAAAATGAAAAACAAAGCCCCTTTAATAGATTATTAGAACCAGAAAAAAATTGTTTATTATATACCGCTAATGGAAAAAAAATACTACAAAGATGGTGTATTTTTTGTGCGACCATATAGTGGATTAAAAGTCTTTACTAACAGGAGGCTCAGGTTAGGCACTAGTGAGCTTCTTGAATGCTTGAAAGAGCGAGCAAACTAGAAAGCCAGGCGTTCGCTCGGAGGATGATTGTATGTCAGGCTCTAGGATAGCTGAATTTAGAAATTAATGATAACGAGAGGGAAAAAAATGGAAACACCATATTTACCCGGAACAAATTAGGTGCAAATTTAATTTTTCGTCCAGAACAAATCAATTACCTCGATTTATACGGGTTTTAGTTAATTTGAATACATTTATTTGATTCAAAATGGCATTCTCCCTTTGGCTAATCTGACAATTCAGGGTGTTTCAAAAGTTCGTTCCGATTTTTTCTTCGCTTAAATTTCACTGATTATTTAAAAATACCTTTTGTAAAACTAAGCATGTTATTCATTGTTCATTTAACAGTGACTGAAATATTAGCAACTACAATATCGTCCTTTATGTTTTCTTACATTTTCTAATAGGTGAGGTATAGAATGTATGAGCTCCCAACGCGTGTCTATATTCCAGGCGAAGCGTAATCGCTGTCTTAGCTCGTCCAGTATTTTGGGGGCTGGATCTTTGTATCTTGTCTCATCAACGATAATTCAGATGGTCGCTAGAGAGTTTATGTATATCACGTGAGTTTGCCGGCTGGTCGTCCTTTCTTCTGAACAGATGCCATTCCTGCATGAAGTGTGCACCGCCATTTTTCTCCTGAAGGCTTTCCAACCTTTGTTGGTCACATATCTCCTTACCTTTGTGCTCGAAACTCTGATATTGTTAAGATGAAGTTTTTTTTACTTTTCAGTCTTGTTGAAATATTACGCATATACTTACAGCTTTTTCGATAACATTTCTCTCACAGTTTGTAAAAAAACGGCCATCTACTCCTTGGAGTTTCCTTGGTTTGTCTTCTAACGTTTTTACTTTTGACCACCCGTTCACTCACGCATTGTTCAGACGTCTTCAACAATTTGGCAATTTCTTTGACTAAATGACCAGAATACTGTAAAAATAGATGCCTGAGCTGTAGCAAAAACAGTGCGCGCCCTCATTTTCGCGAAAAAGTAGATAAAACAAAAGAAAACGGCAAAAATACGAAAATAGAAAACCTACAAAATGGGCAGGAAAAATATGGCGGGAAAAATACTCGCGCCGTGTACAGTTGGGGCAAAAGTTAAAAAATATTTTACATTCTTCAAAATTTAGTTTGAAATTGCTTTGAACGGTTATTTAGAAAAATTTCCTAAGTGAATCAGTTTACATTTGCCTAAAGACGTATTAAATGCTTTGCGAAAAATACAATTTACAGTCGGAACGAACTTTTAAAACACCTTGTAAATCAACAATTTGAAATCTAAGGACGTCAAATTAGGCCATTGCGTCATACATTGCGTCAATGTAGGAAACGATGAGTACATTAGAATGTGTAATTTTGGTGGCCATATCATGAGTGGTTTTTGAGTTATAGAGTGGGGCCTGGTCTTACGACAGTAATCAGAGTCTCGAGGACAGTTATGCTCCACGTATCACGATGGATTTTGCTCTCCTGATATACCGTATTGATTCGAATAAGCGCCCAAGCTCGAATTAAATACGGTATACTAAGTGAGCGACTTTCAATCTATTTGCTGACGACATATGACGATTCATTTATAAAGGTTTCACGGACGTTTTCTACATTT